TCTTTAAAAAGTAGCTCATTCTGAAGGTAGCAAAACTAATGTAATCTGAATCTCAAGGAGTGGTCACTTTTTTTAGGGGCAGGTGGTTCCTGGGGATGAAACCTATATGCTTGGAAGGTGCTTTCCTATTGACTTTCCACCCTAATTCATTAACAGTTTTTGAGACAAGGCCTTGCTAAGTTCCCCAGGCTAACCTGGAACTTGTTATCTTCTTGCCTCAGCCTTCTGAGTAGTGGCACATACCATTAAATATTCTTTAAAATGATTTTCTGGCTGGGGATGGTGACATCAGGTACTCAGGAGGCTGAGGCAGGAGGATCACAAGTTTGAGCTGGATAAATTAGTGCAGTCCTTTCTCAAAATTAAAAAAATAAAAGAATAATGGGAATTAGCTTGGTCCATAGCTCAGTGATAGAGCGCTTAACATGACAAGACTCCAGGGTTCAGTATTCAGCATTGTAAAATCAAATCAAAACGAATTAATGCAACACAACAAAAAGAATAATAGTTTCATTTCAAACAGAAATTTTGATTTTTTTTTTTTTTTTTTGAGGTACCGGGGGTTGAACTCAGGACCTTGTGCTTGCCAGGCAAGCATTTAGAAAGAGTCTAACTTGGGATCCTTTGAGTTTCATGGATCTGTAGTATATCCACATCTCTCCCAAGATTAAATGTTTACAGCTGCTAGTTTCTTAAATAGGTTTTATCTTTTTTCATCTCTTCACCCTCTGAAACAATCATATGGTGAATGATTATTTACTTAATGGTATCTCATAGTTCCCCAGGGATTTCTTTATTCTTTATTAATCCACAGGGATTAATTCTCTCTGTGGGGAATTGGTACATGTATACAACACATCAACTATTTTATGTTCTCCTCTCCTTCATTTCTTGGTCCCTTCCCCTTTGTAAAATGTATGTCCTCTTTCCTATTATTTATCTTTTATTGTGTTCTTTATATTTTGGGTGTTTAATATAGGAAATACCATGAAATATTTAAGCTTATGTGTCAAATTTGTTTCACTTATCATTATGGTCTCAAGGTGCATCCATTTTCCTAGAAGAAATTCTTAAGAGGGTGCTTCAATTTAAAATAAAAGGATGGCACCTGCTTAGGCACGCTTAGGCAGATGCAGGTGACTGCAGTTCAATCCCAGCACCACATGCTTTGAAAGTGAAGATCACAAGTTGGTTCAACCACATGGACTGCAAAGACCAAGTGATCTATGTACAAGGGTTCTCCACAATGAATGTCAACAAATATTTTCAACCTTTCACTGTTCTAGGCTGGCCTTGTTCAGTGGGTATCAAACTCCATTCATTACACTCTGAAAATGGGCTGAGGTTTTTTTTGTTTGTTTGTTTTGTTTTTGTGGAACTAGGGATTGAACTCAGGCCCTTGTGCCTGCCAGGCAAGTGCTTATTCTACTGAGTCATCTCCCTGGCCCCTGGGCTGAGGTTTCAATTGTGTAATAGAATAATTTCTCTGCTGGAAGACTCTAGTTTCTTTTTCTATTCATTCTGAGTTACAGCAAGCAAACAAGCTTCCTCTAAAACTTGCTTGAAACCCCCTACATAGAGAACATGTTTATTGTCTTTGTGAGGTACACTCACTTTTGATCCTAGTTTATCCAGTATACCGCACACTGGATCTTTTCCTCCAACTGAAGAGCATCCCTACTCCCATCCATGGAGACAGCTTTCCCACTGCAATCTTTCTAGAGCCTCGTGCCTCTTCTAGCTGTTGTGAATCCTCAGATCTGAAAGGAATCCATGTCTCCTGAGAATCTATTATCTTAAATAAAACCGGTGTGGAGAAACTGCCAGCATCCATGTCTGTTATCTCCAAGACTCGACATGAGTTTGGTGATGAGGATGAACTGTTCTGAGACAACTGCTCCTGGTGTGAAACCACTGATGGCATTCTGCCCTCTAGCAGCCCTGCCACTTTGCATGTGATCTTGCCCTCACCGAGGGGCACCTTGTATGTCCCTGCTGGCCTTCCAAGGAAGATGAGCTGGGGCAGGTTGTACTTCTTCTGAGAAGTGCTTGTTAAGTTTATGTGCTTTTTTTTTTTTTTAATTGAGTCATTTGTTTTTTGGAAGTTAATTTTTGAGTTCTTACATATTCTAGCTTATATATTCTGCTCTAGCAGAGCAGTCGCTGGTAAATTTATTTTCCCCATTCTGTAGGTTGTCTCCTCACTCTGTTGTCATATTTTTCTGTTGACTGTTTCCTTTGCAGTGCTAAAGCTTTTTAATTCAATGTAATACTTTTTATTGATTCTTGGAATTATTTCCTGTGTTCATTCCTTCTCCTTCAATTCCATGGAAATATACGAGCAGAATTAACATTAGCTCTTAAGGCAAAATTCATCAATGAATGCACTGGATCCTGGGCTTTTCTAAGTGGAGTTTTTATTACAGCATCATTTTCATTGCTTTCTACCAGTATAGTCAGGGTTTTTATATCTTCGGTTCAAATTTGGTGTCATATGCATTGAGGAATTTATCTAAAATTTACCTTCCAAATTCTCCAATTCATTGGAATATAAAGTTTAAAAAAGTTTCTATTAATTCTCTGGATTTCTGTGTTGTCACAGTTTTGCCTTTTTATTTCTAATTCTATTAATGAGGGTCTTCTCTTCTGGTTAGTCTGGCTAAGTATCAATATCATTTATCCTTTCAAAGAGCCAACTCTTTTGAGTCACTGTAACTACCTTTTTTTTATGATTCTCAATTTCACTGATTTCTACTCTGTTCATTAAAGTTTCTTTCTACTAGTTTTGTGAGTGTATTACTCTTGTTTTTCTAAGACCTTGAAATGTATTATTACATTATTTCTTTGGGATCAGCCTGTTTTTCTGCTGTAAGCACTTAGAGCTAAGAATGTCCATCTTATAACTGCTTTCATTGTGTCCCACAGATTCTGATATGTTAAATAACATCATTATTTAATTTAGAAATTTCAAAATTTGTTTCCTGATTTTTTCTGTGACCCATTAATTGTTCAAGAGTACATTATTCAATTTTGCTGAGTTTACACACCTATAATATTCAATAACGGAACTTAGAAAAAATGGGGTATACCTATGAATGTCCATTTTGTATCTGTGTATTCAAAGTGGCTGGGATAGATATATAGTTGCATTCTCTTAATGAATAGAATGATTTGTTTTAATAGGATCACAAGTCCGCATCTTGTACAGCAATTAACCACTAAGAAGAATATATGCAGTGTATTATTTGTTGAAACTGTACTTCCGATTTGATTTGAAACTGTCTCATTGCTGTTTATCAATAAAACTTTGAAAAAAAACAGTAAAAAAAAAAAGAGTACATTATTCAGTATCCATGTGTGTGTGTAATTTCTGTGGTTTCTTTTGCGCTTGAGTTTTACTTTCATTGTGTTATAATCTCATAGGATACAAAGTTTTATTTTAATCCTTTTGTATTAAGTCATGCTTAATAGTTTAAAATATGACCTATTTTATAGCAGGTTTCATGACCTGCTGAGAATTCTTTTTTTTTTTTTTTTAATGTATTTGGTACAGGGTTTCACTCTGCAGCTCCGACTCGTAGTAATCCTTGTTTTGAGCCTCCCCAGCATTGGAATTACAGGCCTAAGCCACCATGCCCAGTCTCAGTAGCCAGCTCACTATGCCTGGGGGTGGGGCCGGCTTGGCATGTGGTACTGGGGATCGAATCCTGATCCATTTGCTTGCCTAAGCAGGTGCTTGGTCCAGGAAGCTATCTTGCGGGCCCTTGTTCTATGGTGCAGTTTAACTCTGGTAGTTTTTAAAAATTAATTCTGTTTGGCAGGCTGGCCTGTGTCTGTCTGTCTGTCTTTCTTTTCTTTCTTTGACACTGTCTTGTTTTGTTGTTTAGGCCGGCCTTGAACTCACTATGCAGTCAAGGCTGGTCTCAAACTCATGGTGAACCTCTTCCCTTAACCTCCTGAGAGCTGGGATTATAGATGTGAGCCAAATGTTCAGTTTTGAATCGTGTATTTCTGAGAGTGGGACATTAAAATTTCCTACTCTGAACTGATAGTTATCTGCTCTTTTATGTAAGGTATTTTTGTTCTATGAAATTAGTCTTGCCAAAATTTGGTACACATACACATACCAAATTTCTTCTTAGTGAATTATTGTCTGTTATTTCTTCTTAGTGAATTATTGTCTCTGCCAATATATAGTGACTTCCTTTCTTTGTCTTTTCTTATAGTTTGGTTTGAAGTCACCTTTAGACAGAAATTAGACTAGCTAGTTGTTATAGCTAGCATCTAGATATTCCCCTAGGGGCCGGGGAGATGGCTCAGTAGAATAAATGCTTCCCTGGCAAGCGCAAGAGCCTGAGTTCAATCCCTGGTTCCGCAAAAAAAATAAAAAAATAAAAAATAAATAAAAAAGCCAATCAACTACATAAATAAGAATGATTAAATAAATTATAATATAACTAAACTATAGTAAACTAGATGTTCCCCTAAAGCCTCATGTAGTCAAAGGCAGGGCTTTTCATAGGTGGCTGCATCTAGAGTGTGATGCTGGGATTAAGGATGTGTGATTACTACATTAGGCCACCGATTGGTCTGGCACAGTTCTGGGTGTGGCTAATGAGAAGACCTATCCTGAATGTGAGTACTACCCATCCTAAGGGAGTGAAGCTTGGATAGAATATGAGAAGGGCTGCTTCCTGGGTGTGCTGCCTTCCACCTGCCATGAACTATTTCTCCTCTGTGATGGTCCTCTGCTGTGCCCCCCTGTCTTGGAACCAGCTGACTATGGCTGAAATGCCTACTAACTGTGAACTGAAATAAAACTTTCCTCCTTTAAGTGTTGTTTTAAGTTAAAGTATTTAGTCCTTCTATTATGCAAATTAACTGAGTATTATCATATGTTTAATATAAAACATGAGATCCTGAAATATACTCTGGAGCCCATGCATAGAAAATTGTGTGAGGGACAGTCCCGCGCACCCAAGCCCCTCCATTATTAGTACCTGTTGTTTAAGCTGCTGCACCAGGCGATCCTTCTCACGCTTTAGTGCAGCCACTTCTTCTTGGGTCTTTTTCTTAGAGGATGAAAGCTCCAAAAGAGCTATATTGGCATCTTTTTCACTAATAGCAGCCAGTAGAGCTTCTTGCCTGCAAAAGAAAGAAAACACCAGCATTTTAATTCTAGTAATTCTTTTATCATTACCCTCATTTTATGGATGATAAAACTGAGGATAGAGAATTTATACAGCTTGCTCAAATTTATCCCTGATATAAATAATACAACAAGGAATTTGTTAATTGTATAATGTCAATATGTAATACAGCAACCATTGTTCATTTTCTATTCTTATTTTGAAATTCTTTACCATTTTAATGTTTTACTTTGCTTTGTCTTTGTTCTTGCTGGTTTTGGGTTTTTTATTTTTTAAAATACAGTATTTTTTAAAAAGATTTAAAAAAAGGAATTTAGGTTTTTCTGATTATAAATGTCTTTACCATGTTATGTTTCTATTTTAATAAAGAATCCCTATTATACAATGTTAAACAAAGTAAGTCATTCATAGTAAGACAAATATTGCATGATTTCACTTCCATAAAGTATCTAACAAATAAGCTCATGGCATAAGAGAGGAAATTAGTGGTTGCCAGTAGCTAGGGTAGAGGGAGATGTGGAATTGCTACTAAATAAACACAATGTCTCAATTTTGCAAGGTGAATGCATTCTAGAAATCTGCTGTACAACACTGGCTTATAGTTAACACTCACCAAGAAGAAAAAAAAATTACAAAGATAAGTAGAATATTAATCAGTCATGAAAAAGATGAAATCATAACATTTGCCAGAAAAAGGGCAGATCCAGAGACCATAAGTTTAAGTCAAATAAATCATACATAGAAAGTTAAACACTGTATGGCTTATATAATAAGAGAAACCCAAAAATATAAATAAAGGAGTGAAATAAAAAAATGGTATGAAAGACAGAAGCAGATTTGCAGAATCTTGATCAAAGGAAAAAGGGGTCAGGGAAGGTAAAGGCTTAGAACAGAGCTATGGAAAATGATAAAGAAATGACATATAAGGCCCAGCCACATAGCTCAGCAGATCAAAGCACCTGCAAGCAGGCGTAGGGGCCAGGGGTTCGATCCCTGGGCCTGCTGCGACAGCAATCGAGATTGAGCGTGGTGGCGTGTGCCTGTAATCCCAGCTCTTGTGAGGCTGTAAATAGGTGGATCACTACAAGTCCAATATAGTAGTGAGACCCTAAACACCCTGTAGACCATTTCCTAAAAATACACAAAAAAAGAGAAATGATATATGTATACATACACGTATGTATGTGTACACCAATTCCCCCCAAACAAGTGTAACTGCCATGTGTCACAAACGCTAATAAAAAATATATGTATTTAAGTTGGGCATAGGGGCATACAGCTAATCCCAGATACTTTCAAGACTAAGACAGGGGGACTACAAATTTGAAGCCACCATGGACAATTTAATGGGACTCTATCTCCAAATAAAACATGAAAAGGGCTGAGGATGTAGCTTAGTGCTAAAAAGCCCCTTCCTGAGTTTGATCACTGCTATTACAACAAAAAGTGGATTTCATATATAACATATAACCTTAAAAAGGCAGTAGTTTTTTGTGGTACTAAGGATTGAACCCACAGCCTCATAATACTAGCCAAGGTTTCTTCCACAGCTACAATCCTAACCCTAAAATACCATATATTTTGTTTTTTAGTTTAACAAAAGAAATAGTTCATAGGTATAGCTGTGGTTAAACTTGAAAAGTAAGCAAAGTTAGTGCTTTTCTGTTGAAGTAAGAATAATCTTGTCACCCATGTACTTTCTTCACTTCACTCATTCCTTTGGTTAAGCACTACATAGCTTCCAAGCAAACTGAAACACTGACACTGAAACAATTTCAAGTATGAAACATAAAAAATTGTAAACTATAGTAAAGTGAATTCAGAAATAAAGCCATCTGTTCCTGAGATACCTTGAACACTGGTAATTCTTTTTATCTCATTAATGCTTTAAGTTTACAGTTGTGATTTTATTGGCAATGATCTGTATACTTTGAAACTGTAATTTAAACTTCACAAAATTCCTTGTGGTTTGGCTAACTATGCTGTGGTTCATGTCCAGAAGGAAAAGGAGGTAGATTTAGAAGGGAAGTGGACATGTGAAACTTAAAAAATAATCAAAATGAAGTTGGTGAACACTTAAGTTTCATAGTCTAAAATACATTCTTCAGTAATGTATCTTTTACGCAATAAGACAGAATTGATTTATAGAAACTACATAAGTGGCTTGAGCTTTTGGCCTGAGGAAATACTTAATCTGAGAATGCATGCCCACATTTAACTTTGCTTCTGTCTTTTGTTAAGATAACTGAGCTTCAATAGCAGTCACGCGGAGGAGTTTCAGTTAAGCCACAAAATAAAAAGTTATCATTTGAATATTCCATCGGATATTTTTTATTCTGTATAAGTACTGAATTCTGAATGAGCAGAACTAACAAATGGAAAATGTAATCACTTTACATGACAGAAATAATCTGTTTAACTACTCTGCAGTTGAAAGAGAAGAGAAGATTCTTTGGGATTGCAGTATCACCTTCCAAGTCCCCACACTCTGGCAATGGTAAGGAATGGCAGATGGCCTACAGTGGTAGGCTTCAGTCAACACCAAAGAGATAATGACACTCTAAATATATCCACTGATCTCTTGGGAAAAAAAATGTTAAGTGGTGAAATGAGCTTAAAGGTGAAGGAGTTCAAGATGGTCTAACTATGCACAGTTTCCTCTTTATTGCAGTCATCTGTTGCCTTCAGGGAACCTCCGAGACTGACCAAGCGGGAATGAGCGTGCTTTCTTGGTGGCTGTGTTTCTGCGCACTAATGGTCAGAATCACAAACTGGCAGGCAAATAGCAGAAGATGAACAAAACATAACTTAATCTGTTAAACTCAATCATCAGCACCTTTACTGAAAGACATGCAAAATACAAGGGTGATGTGATTTGAATTCTATTTTGTGCTTAAAGCATCATAGTATGAAATAGTAAGAATCATTCCAAATTCCAAACTTTCATAAGTGGTATGTTTGGGCAGTTAGTATGGCACAGCTAATGTCTGGGGTAAATGTCAATTCAAATTACAGCACATGGCAATTTTGATTTAAAATTTGAAAATTTTAAAGGCCGTGCCAATGTGGCATAATGACTCTTTAGTAAGATATACAATTTGAACTTTTATAATATAATTCAAATAGAGATTTTATTATTCCATTTCCACATACATATATATGCAATTACTTAAACTCTGCCTCTCGAGTACGGCTCTTATCCCCTGAAACATAATTCTTAGCTCTGAAAATTCCCTAACTCATGATCATGGATTTGTTCTTACCACTTGAGATTTACATTCTTTATATTCACTTCTACATGTATAGGTGCCAAAACAGGCATACATACATACAGTAAAGAGAACAAAAACATTTTTTATTCTTCTTCATATATTTAATCACAAATTCTGGGTAATATTTTCTGTGTATTTATTAGCTTTTATTTTTGAAAAGTCTTCAAATAGTGTGTTCTTTGTTACAATTTTGGTAAATTCTTATAGATACTATAAGAACTGAGAGAAAACTTCAATAATACCTTTGCTTATGGGTCATGACAGTTGCCTAAGTTGTTTTTGTAAGAAAGCAGATATAGCTTAAGCCACTGAAAATCACTGGTCCTTTTGGGTGAATTTTTTTATCAGATAGCTGAAAACTACCCTCGCAGAATGTTAATGTTGCCATTTTCTGAATATGTTTCCTATGAAGAGCCATAAAGTTTTATTATGCATGTGCAGACCACTTCACCTTTCTTTACTTTCAATGACCTTTCTCTATGCCTCTGATCACTGCGTTTCTTTCTGCAATAAACACCCTCAGCCCCCACCCTTAGGGAGGTAGATTTGAGACTTTGGGGCTTCCTCATGTTTGGCTGCCTCTTGAGTGAACTCTTTCTCTTTTGCAAAGTTGTTCTTACAGTGATTGGCATACTGTGCAGTAGGCAAAATAGACTCTGTTTGGTAACACTAAACGGGAGAAAAACTGCAAAGTAGTAAATGTAATAGGCCTAAGTTTGAGGGGGCGGGATAAGGAATTGTTTCCCAATATACCTGAAAGAAAAGACCACATGATAAAGTTATACGGTTAAGCTTTATACAGTACATTCAAAAGTGTCTATGCATAAACCTGTTAAGAACACTTGGTTTTTCACAGGGACTGGAATTTAGAAGAATAACATAAAAAGCAAATTGTGAAAAGAATCTTATTTTAGTAGCTGCCTACTCCATACAATTACTTCTTTGTAAAATGATATTTTCTGATAAGGTTAATACACACTCAATAGAGAAAAACTGAAAGTCACAGCAAACTTGAAGAAGAAAACAAAAATTACAGGAGGTAATTCATTTTCAATCAGAGTCAATGGCTTGAGATTTAGAAGTCACCTATTTTAACACTGATAGGAATTATTTTAAAGACACTGAACCTTAATAGAGGTTAATCATTAACTGAGAGCAGCCTTACATAGATTCCACAGAAAGGGGAGACCTGCCAATGTACATTCTGGCCTCATTTCCCAGGAGCCCTAAGGGAGTAACATGAGCACATAAAACGTGAAAGGTAATACATGTATGCCATAAGTCCAGAGCAAAATAAAAACTTCAATGCTCTTCCTGCCAAATTCTCCTTGTCCTGTTTGTGTCTTTTTCTCAGCTCAGAAAGGAAGAAAGAAAAGAAAAAGAAAGAATAAAGTAAGTAAGTAAGTTGTAGACACAAAACCTAACAAAGTGATTAGTAACCCCTTTCCCATGACATGATGAACATGTCATATTACTGACATAATGAATAGGTAGCAGAATTCCAACGTTAATTCATTGGAGTGGTCTGTTCATTCAATCCCTCGTGCTTTAAACAACCAGATCAGCTGAACCTGCCTTTTGACCTTAAGCTCTAATAGAATCAAGATGTCTCTGAAAGTAGTCTGCTTTGGCATTTGAGCTTCAGGAAGTAGTAAAACTACTCCTCTGTCCAATTTTCCCTTTTAAGCAAATTTCAGAAACTAGAGACAAGTTATCAAAGGCA